GAGGGAGGAGAAGATCTCTACCGAACGATCTATACTCTCACTCGTTGATCAGAGCACCGCGGTATCCTTTATAAGATAATCTCGAGAGATGCCCGCGACGCGGCTCCAGCTATTTACGAACTGGGGGAATCTTGTAAATCGTAGCGGGTTCGTGCCTCCGCTATCTACTATTCGTCACGAGAGGCCGGGCCCGCCTCCGTCGTCGATCACCACCTGAACTTTTGCCAACGTTTTCGATGCCTGTTAACGAAAGCGTATATAGCGCGCAACGCGATCCATCATGAGTGATTTTTTCAATCCCGGATTTATGGTGTGATAAATTGCTTGCCGCTCGATATACGCCGCGGTGATTATTGCGCCTGGTTTTGTGCTCGACGCGCGTATATTCGAGGATATTCGAGTGTTCGGGATATGGATATTCGCCATGATTTACGTAATTGTGTATATCGGTCGAAATTTTGTGGGAAAATTGCGTCCGAGGTTCGCCGATGTAGTTGGGTAAAGAATTCGTTGACGTTGGTCGATTTGTTTGGTTAGGTTAGGTTATAGTTATCTTGGATAAGTTTGCAGGAAATCGATGCTTGATTTCTCTTGAATAACGTTGAGAGAAAAGAATATTTTTTTTTTTTTATCAAATATTTAATCGTATAGTTAAATTTATTCTTGTTATTCTCCTTTTCCTTCTAACCTCTAAATTATAAGTTCGTACGATTCGAACGAGAGGAATGATACTATTAGGACGACAAATCATTATTTTATTAAACAAAAATTTAATTGTAAAGAAGAAAACTAGAAACAAGAATAAAATTCTACAATTCTATGTTCATTATTCTAGCCTTCAAAACATCACAATCATTCGAAAATCTTTAAAAATATCGATCAACATTCGTATAGGGGAAAAAAAAACATTGCCTCCGAAAACCCTCGAGAATTCTTGATTCATTCACTACTCGCTTCGAAGAATGAAAAAGGAGATCCTTGATGCAACAACGAGCGTATACCACCATTCGTATTTGGCCCCTCGTCATTCTCGAATCGGGAGGATGGCATGATCGAAATATAGCCGAGGTCTCTCTCCCTTTTTCGTTCGAGCGTTCATGAATATGCATGACTAGGTGGGTGCCCGCGCAAAAATTTACGGCCCTGACAGTCTGACGTTTCGAGGACCGCAAACGAGGCCTAACGATACCCGTGGATATAATCGGGACTGACAGTCCTCGAGGAACCACGTTACGCCTCGAAATCGGCCGAATCGTTCGACCGTGTTTTCAGAACGTCATGGAGATGTTGTCGAGTGGTTTCTTACGATACTACTTGCTGGAATCGAGCGTGTTATCGAACGAGGCGCCACACCACGGTGGATAAACAAACGATGAAGATATATATATATATAAGATTCTTCGAACGTATTCTTTGTCGTTTTTCGAACGAGATGAAGAAATACAATCGTATTTTTATTGAAAATAGATGCGAGTAGAATAATCTATCGAGATAGAAATCGGTCGAGTTGAATTTTGAGGTTAGGAACAAGAGTGCATCTCTCTTTTTTTTTTTAAATAAGATTCTAATAATTTTTAAATTCTCTAAGCTTCCAAAAAAAAGGTTAAAGTTATATCAAAATATTATAACGAATATTCGAATATTTATACAAAATATTACTGTTGATACTTTTATCGAAATAGAAATCTGTCGAGTTAGATTTTGAGATTATGAACAAGAGTGCACTTTTTTTTTTTTTTTAAATAAGACTCTAATAATTTTTAAATTCTCTGAGCTTCCAAAAAAAAGGTTAAAGTTATATCAAAATATTACAATAAATATTCGAATATTTATACAAAACATTACTGTTGATACTTTTATCGAAATAGAAATCTGTCGAGTTAGATTTTGAGGTTAGCAACAAGAGTGCACCTTTTCTTTTTTAAACAAGATTCTAAACTTCCAAAAAAATATTATATTAAAATATTATCGTTATAATCCGAATATTCGAATATTTATACAAAATATCATTAAAATTAATACGTAGTAATACGTAAAGATCGAGAAATAAAAGAAATAATCGTCTTCCGCGATTAATTATCGTAACCAAGAACGCAGTCAGATCTATGCAGAAACCCTGACGTTTGACAATTCCAAGAGTGGGCAATGACAGGTTAATAACTTCGTTCCAGAGAAAGCTTGGTCGGATAAAGTGGAGGAAACGAATTCGTGACATCGTGATCCTCGTGTAAGAATACGAAAGCCGATGCTAACGAGCCGGTAACGCTTAATTGTCCCGGGATTAATCAATTTGCCCGTACCCGCTATCAGATCCATAATTACAACGTCGGATTTAAGCTCTAATTATAAAACAATCCATCGTTTCCTTTGACGATGATCGAGCAGGGTACCCGGCCGAGTGAATGGGTATCGCACTTATAAGCGATTAAAATCAGACACGGTTCACAAAAACGTCATTTGAACCGGTTGCGTGACATCGTGAAGGATTACTAGAAGACGGATGAAAAGTTGTAGGAATCCTCTTTGGGGATTCAGGAACGCGGATGAAAAAGAGCGAAGAGAGAGGAGGACAAAGATGATTATGCGAGGAGAGGAAGTGCTGGTCGATGGAACGAAGAGTATTGTGGCATATAGAATTTTAATTTCTTAATGTGTGCATATGTATATGCTTCGTTCGAGGCATATGGAGTCGGATCATTCTAGAAATGATTATGCAACGAAGAAGTATTTCGCGTAATAAACGAGCGTATAAATTACAGCGTGGTAATTCCTGTATTAATTTCCAATGTTAATTCAGTCGTTCCATTTGTTATCAGCGTTATTAAGCAATCGAGCTGCTAATAACTTCGAAGAAAAATGATCGGATAAAAGTCAAATCAAGTGGTAAAGACAATATCGTGTATCTTTGATGCAATGATAGTGGAATAATTAATGATAGCAGATAAATATTTAATGAACGATAGAATATTTAATAATAAAAAGACGAAATTTAAACATCTGGTTTAAATAATAAACAATATATATCTTGGTAAAACAAAATTCTAAATTTATTCGCTGTATTTATTTTCAAATTATTTAAGACAACGTTTCTACGTTTGACTAAAATTTAATTCGACGAAACTAACCTCAAATTTTAGTTTTTTTCCTTTCGAGGAAAAATTTTATTCGAAAGAAGAAAATTCGATTCCTAAAATGCCTCAAATCCACGTCCTTCTCCATCTTCCCCCTTTCACTTCATTCCATTCCACTCGCCATCCTTTAACAACGCTTATTTTCACCACATGGCATCCGCCACAAACTCGCCAACACTCGTAAACAAAGTGTCGAACTACCTTTCGTGAAGAGACAACTATTTCCCATTCCATCGAATCCGCCACGTGAAAAGACAATAAAAACAAGCGAACCAACCGAACGATTACGAATAACTTCACGTTTCTATGTGGAATGCTAGCCTAAGGATAGAAGAGAGAGAGAAAGAAAGAGAGAGAGAGAGTTGTGATGCGAGAAAAAGGGGGAGAAAGTGCGGACACGAGGATCAGAGAGGGGTGCTGGGTCGATTCTAGCTTCGAGGGGTCATTATAGAGCTCTCTTAACCGTAGAACACGGTCTTCTTGCCAGCAGACTGTCCGGATTGACTGATGTCAGGTCATTCAGAGCTTCCTAGACCTCCTCCGGTTGCCTCATCGACGTGACGACGTGGAAGTCGAGAGAGGAGGCCTATCCTTCCAACGATATTGCGCGACGGATCTCGATACGCCTCATTACGCCAACGACTTTCAAAAGCAATTAAAACTGGCACGTTCGAAACTTATTCCATCTCGTAACAGCGAATTGCTCGCTGTCGAGTTGTTCATTCGTCGTCGGTCATTTGCTGAGGTTTCGAGAGATCGCGTGATTTCAACAAC